GGCTGCTGCAGGGAGCAAGCAGGAGGCTTGGCTCCCCCCCAGGCTACAATGTTTCGATTGTGGAAGGTAAATAAATTCCAGATACCAGGGCCTCTGCTTGGGTCCACAGGGGGTGTGGCTGCTCTGCAAACCACCACAGGCCCCTCACTCAGGCTGCCCCATACCCCAAGGGAACCCCCACCCTGATCCAGCACACCCTTCAGGGCAAACTAGATGACCCTCACCCATGCACCAGGCTTCTATTCTATCTAATAAAATAGTAATATGTAGATTGACCATCACTCCAACACATAAGATGGCTGTTCCCATGTGGTCAAAGATCCTGTTCCTATGTGAACACAAGATGGCCACCACAGGAGGGCCATCAGAGGAGGGCAGTTGGGAGGGACCAGGCCGGCAGAGGAGGGAAGTTAGGGGTGACCAGTCATGCAGGGAAGGGTAGATGGGGGAGACCCAGGCCTGCAATGGAGAGCAGTTGGTGGGGACCAGGCCTGCAGGGGAGGGCAGTTAGGGATCACCAGGCCTACAGGGGAGGTCAGTAAGGAGCAAACAGGCTGGCAGGGGAGCAGTTAGGCATCAATCAGGCTGGCAGGGGAGTGGTTAGGGGGTGATCAGGCTGGCAGGCAGAAGCAGGATCCCTCAAGGGATCCCAGATTGGAGAGGGTGCAGGCTGGGCTGAGTGACATCTCCCTCTCCCTCCCTGCACCGGGCCTCTAGTAAATAATAAAACAAACAAACAAACAAACAAATAAGGAAGAGTTCTAGGCTCCTAAACACTGTCAGTGAAGAGATACAACTAAATGAGAAAAGTATTCACAACATGTGACATACAGATTTCATGCATAAAAGTGCTCATATAAATAAAACAAAAATAAAACGAATAGACAATTTTTAAATATATTATTCAATTTCCTGAGAACAATAGCCAATAGTCATGAGCAGCTTAACCTAATTGAAGAAATGTAAATTAAAAAAAAAAATAATTTAAGACTTCCTATATCTTGTTCAACACTGTATCCCCACTGCTTCACAAGTACTTAGAACTTAGTATTTCCTGAAGTAACAAATATTTGTTGTTGGTAAGGATGTAGTGAAAAGGACCCTCTTCTACAGTGCTGGAAACAACGTATACTGATGTAATCTTTCAGTAGGACAAATTGACAAAACATAACATTTTTAAACACATGTTCTTTGGCACAACAATTCCACCTAAAGGAATTTATATTAAAATAGTCATATGAAGCCTAAACCGGTTTGGCTCAGTGGATAGAGTGTCAGCCTGTGAACAGAAGGGTCCCAGGTTCGATTCTGGTCAAGGGCATGTACCTTGGTTGTAGGCACATCCCCGGTAGGTGTGCAGGAGGCAGCTGATCGATGTTTCTCTCTCACTGATGTTTCTAGCTCTCTATCCCTCTCCTTTCCTTTCTGTAGGAACTCAATAAAATATTTATTTAAAAAAATAGTTATATGAATGCATTATATCTGTACCAGACTATCTTACCTAACGTTATTTATAATATGATAAATTACAAACTACCCAAATACCCACTTAACAGGGAGCTGATGAAATAAATTATAGCAAAAACACAAAGAAACTGGGGGAGAAGGTATCAATCGGGTGGAAAGGAGACATATAAAACTTTAGACAATAAATTAAAACTCTCACACAAAGAAATATTATGTGGTCATTTAAAATAATGAGAAACCAATATGAAAAGATGTCCAATTTATACTGGTAAGTAATAAAGGCAAGTTGTCTAAGAGTAGTATAGTAAGAAGTGATTTTTATAATACATAAATGTTAGTATATGCACAGAAAAATGTCTAGGACACCATATGCTTAAACATTTATCAATGGTTACCTCTGTAAGGTGGGATTACATTTCTGTATTATACATATTTATATTGTTTTCATTTTTAATACAAGCATTTATTACCTTTGTGATAATAAAAAAAGAAACACATCTATCCAGTGTAACTCAGTGGTTGAGCATCGACCTATGAACTAGAAGGTTATGGTTCGATTCCCAGGCAGGGCACATGTCCAGGTTGCAGGGCTTGATCTCCAGTGTGGGGTATGCTGGAGGCAGACAACCAATGATTCTCTCATTACTGATATTTCTATTTCTCTCTCCCTCTCCCTTCCTCTCTAAAATCAATAAAAATATATTTTTAAAAAATGCATGAGAGCCTGATAGGACATGTAACATATAAATGCCACAATAATGTATTAAGTCCCCTTAAATATGAGTTTGAATTTACCACAGCCAAAATCTTCAAATTAGCATACTAAAGGTGAAATATTGTATTTTTGATCTGTTAATTCTAAAATGTGCCCTAAATCAGTTCTCTAGATCAGTGTTTCCCAAAGTGTGGTACTCGTACTCCCAGGGGTACGGGAAGAGTTTGGTGGGGGTATGCGTTGCACCGGAGTTTGGTGGGGATATGCACTGCGCCGTGCTTAGCTGTGCCTAATTCTACATTCTCATGAGTACAAGGGGTACTCAGCATTATGAAAATTATAGAAGGGGTACACATATGTCAAAAGTTTGGAAAACACTGCCCTAGATGATCAATAATCCCAAATTAAAAGTCACTTGTTTTGAAAAAGGTCACAATATCACAAAGAATTTCTCTATACCAGATTATCACCATTCTTTCATTCAAGAAGTTTACTGAAGGTTCTTTGGAGGATACACAGAAAAGTGAGTTTCTGTCCTTCCTAAGTTTAATACATAGGAAATAAGGAAGGATAATTTAGTAACAAATTGATTTGAAATTTTATTTCACCCTGGTTTTCAAATCTTTACCATAATAGTACTGAATAGTTTCCATCTTCGCAGCACCCCTAGTGGGGATTCCTGTTGGCACTGAATTGGTTGGCATAATGGAAGCCAGACAAAAAGATGACAGTGAATAATTTTATTTATATGAAATGTCCAGAACTGAGAAATCAATAAACATGGAGTAGATTAATGGTAGCCTATAGCTAGTGAGATGGGAGAATGGTGGGGTGAGACATAAGGAGCATAGGGTTTCCTTTTGAGGTAATGAAATGTTCTAAAATTGACTGCAGTGATGTCTGCCTTCATCTGTGAATATACCATATACCAAAAATCATCAAATTGTGTAATTGTATGGTATGAGAATTATATCTCAATAAATGTTCAAAGAAAAAAATCTTTACCATAACAAAAGGGAAGAAATGCAGAAAACTTTCAGAACTGGCGAAATAACTATGGATTTCCTCTTTGTTCTTTATCCATTACCTTCTATTCTAGAGCTCTCAGATACCCTCACTAAATGCTTCTCTCTCCCACCCTAGCCAATTCTGCTCAGAGGTTAGAGTAGGGGTGTCGAACTCAATCAGAGGAGAGGCCAAAATCTAAAATCCAGCCTAAATCGAGGGCCGAATGGTTTACTGAACAGTCATAAACTGTCATTGTGATGGAAACGTAGCGGAGTGCAGTGATGACAGCGCGGTGCGGGCCACATTGCAAGGCCTGGCGGGACGGATTTGGCCCGCGGGCCTTGTGTTTGACACATGTGGGTTAGAGTGTCGACCCACATACTGAGGGGTCTAGGGTTCCATTCCAATCAAGGGCATGTATCTTGGTTGTAGGCTTGACCCTAGCCCCGGTGGGGGCACATGTGGGAGGCAACCAATCAATGTGTATCTCTCTCACATACGGTAGATGTTTCTCTGTCTCTTCCCCTTCCTTCCACTTTCTAAAAATTAAAAAAAAAAAATTTTTTTAAATCAATGAGAAAAATATCCTCGGGTAAAGATTAATAAAAAAAACTGCAGCTTCCCTCTCTTAATAAGGGTCTGCTCCTTGCCATCAGAGATAGAGCATAGCTGGAGGTAAGGAGAGTAACAGTAGGAGAAAGCCAAACTGATTGGATAATGAACAAAATTTGGGAATACAGTACTTAATCCACAAATCCAAAGGATTTCCTGTGCAATTATTCCCAATACTGAGTCCATAGATATCTTACAAGAACAATATCTAGCTTCACAGAGCCTTTTCCTATGGCATTAGGGGGGAAAAACCTCAAAATCCATCATCCTAAGTCTGAAACACCTTTCCTCAAAACAATCTAAAAAAGAAAAAAGAAATATGTAACTCACAAATCCAAATGTGTTAATCAAGTTTAGCCTAATTACCCGTGAGTTTACTAAACAAGTATAGTTTTACCTACAACTGAGATATCACTACGAATTCGCTTTCAAGTCACTTATAAATAATGCTAAATAAGGCCGTTTCAGGAAAACAGCACTAATTTACAATTCTGTTCAGAAAAGAAAAATCGCTTTATTACTTTATTTTCTTTTTCCTGTCTTATACAGGAAATCCTCAAGTCATCACATAACGTACCTGTACCTTCCTCCTCCAACCTGTCATTGACTGAAATTTTATCAAAGGCTTTAAATACATCTAAATAACTTATATTCATTTGTTTTCCTATGACCTTATTATTTACCACTTCAAAAATTACGGTCCTGGCCATGTGGCTCAGTTTGTTGAGCATCGTCCCTGCACCAAGAGGTCACTGGTTCAACTCCCCATCAGGACACACATCCTGGTTCCGGGCTCAATCCCCAGTAGTGGGTGTGCGGGAACCAGCAAATGGATGTTTCTCTTTCCCTCTCTCTTAATCTCTCTCTCAAATCAGTAAAAACATTTTTTTTTAAATTACACTTAAAATTAAACAGTTTTCCTTTAATTCTATTCTCCCAACCCAAATGTTAAATGTTCAATAACCTACTTCTTTACTAAAGATTTCACCTATTCTAAGGATGCACTGAACCTACTAAATAGACAATTCAAAGGAAATTTGAAAGGCTGGATTCAGAATAGTAGTACGGCACATAATGAAAGTGACCAACCCTAAATTCTAAACTTCAAATCACAGTTCAGCAGCAAAGATCAACCACAAAAGAAAAATTAAGTTGGAATTAATCATAAAAGGATTAGACCATATAAAAAAATACTTACATATCGATGGAACTGTGTGAAGGACTGAATCATGTAGAATCGATGCATATATACTATAGCAGTGTTGATAGTCAATTGTGAGCTTAAATATTCAAGTTAAGGCCCCAAACCAGGCAGGCAGTACAATTCCCCAAAATACAAAATCTATATCTTCCCAGAATAAGCTGAGCATAGCAGATGCTCCCAAATAAAATCATATTTACGTCTCCACCAAATTATTAACTACCAATTAACGACCAATTAGCATACCTATACATAAGTTATTCATTACAAATTTACTAAATAAACAAGCAAGCTTCTTAGCATGTGTGAATAAAGAAGGAACATAAACAGAATTATCCAAGTCCTAAACCCATCACTTGCCTACTGAAAATCCTGCAACGGTGATTCATTAGCTCAGGATCTCTACTCGAATGATTTGTAATACTCTCCCTGCCTTAGCCCTAGAAATGTCTCAACTTCTTAACTTTAGCAATCAATTTTTCAGTTCTACTTCTCTCTGCCAACCAAGCCTTCTCATAAGGTGATCCTTGGGACCAAAAACAGTGTGGAATGATTTTATATTCAATCAATGACAAAATATGTTAAATACCTTATTTCTAAAGACCTAAGAAGACAATGTGGGATATACAGAATGAGGCCATCTCATAATGGCAACTACCTTAATAACAACACACATATAAAAAAGGTAAGGGCTAGGATGCAATGAGACAGAATTTCAAACAAAATGATTAACTCAGTACACTGACTGGGTGCTTAAAAACACACTGCATATTGGCAAGAAAGAGAACACCTCTTTTGAAGTGAGCACTTAAAACATTTTATTTTTATTTTTTAAAATATATTTTAATGATTTTTTATTAAAAGGAAAGGAGAAGGATAGAAAGTTAGAAACATCAATGAGAGAAAATCATCGATCAGCTGCCTCCTGCACATCCCCAGTAGTGCAACCAAGGTAAATGCCCTTGACCAGAATCGAACCTGGGACCTTTCAGTCTGCAGACAGATGCTCTATCCACTGAGCCAAACCGGTTTCGGCTCAGCAACACATTTAAATGGAAGGTGTACCCAAGGACAATTTTTCACTTTCAGAATGAAAAGAACTTTAAAAGTATTTTAGCGTTTTCTGCTGCAAATGAGTATATTTTCTGACAAAAATGCTAGAATTGACTCATTCTTTTTGGGCGCATCCCTGCACAAGGCCCTACCCATGGACCAGGTGGCCATAGCAAAGGTGCACGCTGGTACTAGCACCTTCATTTGCACCGTGGTGGCAGGGGTGGTGCTGACCCAGTACATATTCACCTTCAAGAGGAAGACAGGGCAGATGGCCAAGATCAAGATGCCTAGACCCAAGCACTGCATCTCTGGATATTGCTTACCACCTATGCTATTGTTCTAGACCAGTGGTCTGCAAACTGCGGCTCGCGAGCCACATGTGGCTCTTTGGCCCTTTGAGTGTTCTAACGCGACTCCTTCAAAATAGACTCGCCCAGGCCGAAAACCGACTTCTGTGCATGAGCCACGAAGTTTCAATCGCACTGTATATGCACACCCGCACGTGGTATTTTGTGGAAGAGCCACACTCAAGTGGCCAAAGAGCCACGTGACTCACAAGCAGCTGTTTGCCAACCACTGTTCTAGACGAATTCAAAGACAGAAAAACTCAAGAATGTCCTAAGACTGGGTAACGAAGAAATGATTAAGATTCTGCTACACATGTGAAAATGATGCCAGAATTCTTGAAAAGTTCAGTTCATGTGAAGACCCCTACAAGAGTAGAAGAAAATTCCAGAAGCCAGTGTATTTAGTAGTCAGTGTGAGACACCAGATTTCAACTCCTCACATTCATAAGTGACACATTTGAGAGGTAGACTCAGTAAGCACCAAATCCCCACTGAAACAAGGCCTCCTCCATAAGTGTGTCTCCAGCACAGCAGTTCTTCCATTATATACACAGCGGGTCCTCACAGCCAATTGGCCTGGAGGTCAATTCCTTCCAGTGTACCAACCGCAGTCAAGGCTTAACTACACCAAGACTTTGCACTCAGCCCACAAATAAGTGCACCCAGAGCAACCACTTTAAGTGATTGGGGAAGCTGAGCTACTGTCCCCTTTGGTCACCTACCACACAAAGCCATTCCATCAACACAGAGAGTCAACAGAAGCATGTCTCGAATGGGAGAGATGGAGGAAAATAAACTACTGGACAACACAGAGTTCAGAATCACATTTATAAGGTAACTCAAGAATCTTCTAAAACCCGCTGAAAAACTTGAAGAGACCTTCAAGGACCTTAAGAATACAAAAAAAAAAAAAAATGGAAAAGGACCAGTCAGAAATTAAGCATACACTGTCTGAAATAAAGAATATACAGGTGTCAAAACCGGTTTGGCTCAGTGGATAGAGCATCGGCCTGCGGACTGAAAAATCCCAGGTTCGATTCCGGTCAAGGGCATGTACCTTGGTTGTGGGCACATCCCCAGTGGGGGGTGTGCAGGAGGCAGCTGATCGGTGTTTCTCTCTCATAGATGTTTCTAATTCTCTATCCCTCTCCCTTCCTCTCTGTAAAAAAACAATAAAATATATATTTTTAAAAAAGAATATACAGAAACTCAACTGAAGATCAACATACCCCAAGAGTCAAACCAAAGATCTGAAATATGAGAAACAAAAATACCCAACCAGAGAGGCAGAAAGAAAGAAGAATCCAAAAGTATGAGGATAGTGTAAGGAGCCTCTGGGACAACTTCAAGCATACCAACATCTGGATTTTTGGGGTACCAGAAGGAGAGAGAGAGCAGGATATTGAAAGCCTATTGAAAGAAATAACAGAAAACTTTCCCTACCTGGTGAAAGAAATAGACTTACAAGTCTAGGAAGCACACAGAACCCCAAACAAAAGGAATCCAAAGAGGACCACACCAAGACACATCATAATTAAAATGCCAAGGGCAAAAGACAAAGAGAGAATATTAAAAGCAGCAAGAGAAAAACAGTTGATTACCTATAAGGGAGTACCCATATGACTGTCAGCTGATTTCTCAACAGAAACTATGCAGGCCAGACAGGAGTGGCAAGAAATATTCAAAGTGATGAACAGGAAGAACCTACAACCAAGATTACTCTACCCAGCAAAGCTATCATTCAGAATTGAAGGTCAGATAAAGAGCTTCACAGACAAGAAAAAGCTAAAGGAGTTCATTACCACCAAACCAGGATTACATGAAATGCTGAAGGGTATTCTTTAAGAAGAGGAAGAAGAAAAGGTAAAAGTAAAAACTATGAACAAAAAAAAGACATCAAATACATACCTACAACAAATCAATCTAAAAATCAAGTGAATAAAAAATCTGAAGAACGGACTGATGAATATAATAGAATCAGGAACATAGAAAGGGAGTGGACTGACAATTCGCAGGAGGAAGGGGATCTGAGGGGTGCGGGAAGAGTTTGGACAAAAATCTTACACCTATGAATGAAGGCAGTGGCAGAGGGTAAGGGCATGAGTGGAGTAGGTAATCCGGTGGAGGGGAGCTATGGGGGGGGAAAAAGAGAAACACCTGTAATAATCTGAATAAAGATTTATTATATTAATGACAACTGCTAGCTGGTTTCAGATGAATGTCGAAAGTTACTGTAACTAGAGAAAATGTTATGCTATTGATCTTGTTCTGCCCAGCCTGCTTGGCTCAGTGGTTGAGCATTGACCTATGAACCAGGAGGTCAAGGTTCAATTCCTAGTGAAGGCACATACAGGCTCAATCTCCAGTGTGGGACGTGTAGGAGGCATTCAATCAATGATTCTCATTATTGATGTTTCTCTCCCTCTCCCTTCCTCTCTGAAATCAATAAAAATATATTTAAAATAAAAAGAAAAATTGATCCTGTTCTTACCATAGTAGAGTAATAACCTTATGTTATAGAATGGTAAACTAAATGACATGATTTGTTTGTGTAACATGTTTCATCAAAACATAAACTGTGACTGATATTGTACTCAAAGAACATGAAAATTTCTCTAATAAGCTTCAACATAATATACCTGTGTCCATATTTTTGGCTGATATCAGTATGTTCTAAAGATTATTCATCAAGTTGGTGTTTATTATCCAAATGTGAAACTAGTGCCCAACTTCATGGATTTTAATGACAATGGGGTACTCAAAGGATTTAAAGGAGAATGAATTCATGTACTTAACAAATATGTCTTCAATTCAGAATATTTCAATTAAAAGACAATAGCAATATAATTTGTGTGAGAGACTCTCAGGGACACTTAAGGCAGATAGGTAGCCAATGTTGAATACATTCTGAAAAATGGATTATCTAGTGGATGCACTTTTAGAAAAGCACGTGGGCTCTGATGATATTGTACCAATAGAAGATAAATCATTAGAGGGGGCCAACTCCAACTTACAAAAAGATTCTGTAAATAAACATTCTTCAAGAAGACCTCTTTCCTCTGGATGAAACTGATGCAAGAACTGTTCATTTGTTCACCTTGCTGAAAGATTTTTATTTATAATATATTCTTGCTCTACAAGTTTTTCCTCTACATTACTGAGTTATTTTCAAACATGTGGAATCCCAACAACTGGAAGCTCCTTTTTCTCCACTTCTCTCTACACTAGTGGTTCTCAACCTTCCCAATGAATGTTGCGACCCTTTAAAACAGTTCCTCATGTTGTGGTGACCCCCAACCATAAAATTATTTTCGTTGCTACTTCATAAATGTAATTTTGCTACTGTTATGAATCGTAATGTAAATATCGGTGTTTTCCAATGGTCTTAGGCGACCCTGCTAGTGGTTCTCAACCTGTGGGTCGTGACTGTAGAGCATTAGAAAGGTTGAGAACCACTACTCTACACACCCCTCACCATATTTTTAACATTAAAAAAAAAAAAAAATCTTCCTTTTTGTCTGACATCTTAGCAGCCTTGTAACAGTTGGTCTTCAAGTTTGGCTATGCCACCCAAGGTCAACAATAAAGATACTGGAAAGTCAGCCAAGAAAGACAAAAACCCAATGAAAAAAATCTGGGGGCAAGGCCAAAATTAGACGGGTCTAAAGGCAAAGTTCAGGACAAGTTCAATAACCTAATCTAGTCTGACAAAGCAACATTATAACAAACTCTGTAAGGAAGTTCCCAACTATAAGCTTATAACCCCAAGTGTTTCCCCTAAGAGACTGAAGATCCACGGTTATGAAGTAGCAAGTTCCCTGGCCAGGGCAGCCTTTCAAAAGCTCCTTAGTAAAGGACTTATTAAACTAGTTTCAAAGCACAGAGCTGAAGTAATTCAGAAACACCAAAGTTGGGGACGCCTCAGTTGTTGAAGATGCATAAACAACAGGTCCCAGCGGCTTGTGTATTTTGAAAAATAAGCTATTAAATCAGGGAAATGGGATATCTTAAAGTAAATATTTTAAAAAGAACTCTCTATTTCCAAAGAGTATTTTGTGGTTAATGTTATGATGCTTTTAAGGAATCTCTCTACACTGGGAAAGTTTGTAGAAGTTTAGAAAGTTTTATGAAATGGTGAAATAATGTGTATTATTTTTAAGGATAGCCATTTTTGTAATTTGTGTGAATTATGCTGATGGTATCTCCATCTACTAAAATTGTGTTATTTTGGTTAATCTGTTTTAGGAAAATTGATAATTACCAAAAAATACTGATACTTGATGTTTGAAAAAACTGTTATCCACATGTCACTAATTATGATTAAATGTTTTGTAGTGAAGTACTGATTATAAACATGAAATGAAAAGCCAAAAAATGCTTGGAGAAAAAAAGATCACTCTATTACCTCATCTTTGAAATATGAGAAAAACAAATACAACTTTTTTTTTAATCTCTTGAGAATTTTTATAAGAATTTGAGCCAGGAAGTAAGATCTCAACGAGACTCAGAAAAATTGTTTCCAAAACCCAGTATTTTTCAACGTTTTTTAAACCGTTAGATCATTAAGTCTACATCCCTACAAATCTAAACTGGCATCCCCTTCCTCTAAAATTCTATGAAACTCTAACTGAATTCCATGAAACTACTGAATTCTAAGAAACTGAATACTATGAAACTCTAACTGAATTCTATGAAACTCTAATTGAATTCTAGTGAAGTATTGTGTGGGCCATTGAAATTAAACGCAAGAAGTATCACCCCATTTTACAGAGAACACCAAGAATTTGACAGCTTTCTTAGATAATAACTGGGAAGAAGGAACTTTGAACCAAAGTTGGGCATTAATTCTAGGCCATCCTTTATGGTAATGAAGTTCTCAAAATTCTCTATACACTAAATTCAAGACGCAGTCATCAACGCTAAAACCTCCACTAGGGACTAGGACATAGCAGAACAGCATAATCTCAAAGTCACCAGAACAGACGATCATTAACACACTGAAAATGGCCTAATATTAAGAACGATCGGTTAAAACATAAAGCCGGGAAGCATACGAATTACCGGCAAGGTTGGTGGCACCGGTGAGCGAGCGGGAAATTAATTCCGCCTCGCCTCCCTCGCGCGAACACTGAACTTTTAGCCGGCCCCACCGCAGTCTCTCCCACCCGACATCCAGCCTCTGCCCACCCTCTTCCCCACTTCCGTCCCCTCAGAGAGCCTGCGGCCTGGACGCGAGAGCAAGGCGGGACTGATTCCAAGACCGAAGGCCTAGGCCGCAAGGATACACGTAAAGACGTTGGCCCATGTCCTGGAGCAGATTGGCCGCCTGCTGACGATAAGAAAGTTCTTTATCTGGGTCCAGCCCAAAGCGACGGGATGGGCTATTTTCCAGCTGTTCTCGAGTAAAATACCACCGTTTGTTGTTCTTCCTCTCTTCCTCCATAGTGCTTCAACCAGAAGGCAGCGGCGAAGGCTGCAAGCGCTTCCCAGCGTCACTTAAGCGGCGACACACATCCGCTGTGCGGAGGAAACTGCGCCGTGACGAACTTCCGCTAAGGGTGGGCGGGTAGGTTGTGACACGCTTCCGCTGAGGAGGATAGTTGAAGGGTCTACTTCCGTAATGGATCACGCGACAGCCAGTAGCCAAATAAATAGCCAATAGGCGAGCAGGAAAGACCTTGGGTTGGGGGACGCGAGTGCCCGTCACGTGACTCTTGGAGGTAGGGTGAGGTTAAAAGTTTTCGTTCAAAACCACGTCCCCTCTCGCGAGAACTAGGCTGAACATTCGCGCCCTGCGCGAGAGGGTGAGGCAATGTTTGTGGCGGGATTAGGCGCCCGCCCACGCGCCGCTCGGCGGCTTCTGGGAGAATTTCGTTTGTGGCCGGAGGTGGCGATATAAAATGGGGCAGATGGAGGGCTTAACAGAGAAAAAATAGGTGAGACTGACAAAAACTGTAAAAAAGTAATCGTAGTGGCCCTATCGTACATATATCGTGACGTGAAGCCACTAGAAGCTCTCACATTATTGATAATGTAGATTTCGCATTTGAGAAGCTAAAGCCTTGAATGCATTCCTAGCTTCTCCACAGTGATCCAACTTAAAGGAATAAAGTGAAATTAATAACATTAATTTAGTGCTTAATACGTTCCAGGCACAATACTGACTCTTAATTTACTATTTAATTTAATGGGCACAACCCCAACAGGTAGTAATATTTTAATTACTTTTTTGCGAAGGTGAACTAAAACTGCGCCTTCAGTGTGGGGAGCTTTACCACCACCCTGCGCATGCAAAAATTTGTAAATTCCTGCTCCAATGCTTGATGGTTCTTTGATCCAGGGCAGGATACTTCTCTGTACCTCTTATACAAATGTAGATTATAAAAAATACCTACGTATTAGATTGTAAGAAGAATCTTAAATGAAGATGTAATGAGTTAAAAACAATAGCAGCTGACACAGAAGACATTCAGTAGATGTTATTGTTGTTATCAGATTATATTGATACCGAGGTTGTATCCCTAGCACCTACCTAATACAGTACTGGCTCTAGTAGTTAATAAATGTGAAATAAATGTTCACAATACCCTACAATAAAGAATCTGAGAGTCAGGGAGATTAAGTAGTTGACCCTACAATGTACAGCTTATAACGGTAGATTTTAAAAATAAGTCTAATTGTTTTTTGCATTTTAGCAAACTGTAGTCTTGCTTTTCTGGAACACTCAGTTTACCTTGATTAAGAGTGAGTAATAGTAGAATCATTTATCTTTTATAATGTAATAGAACTAAATAATCAGTTTTTCTGATTCCATCTTGCTTCGACCTGACATGTCATTTTAGCTACTTCTGCTTAGTTCTGAAGGTAGATAATGCTAATCATTAGAGGAATCTAACATACATCCAAGAAATTACTGAAACAACCTCCCTGCTCAAAAGTACCTCCCCAAAAATATAAGGAAAGTGTGTACAAAAATAATGAATTATAGGAACTTCCTGACTGAGTTTGAAGGTTCCCCTTTGGATCCTTGCTGATGTCCAGATGGCTGCAGTCATTAGTCACCTCCTATCCTCACACCTCTGCTGTTCCTCCCTTCCCCTGACATAAAAGAAGTATAAACTCTGTACTTTCTCAAGATGGTTCGTTAGAACGCTCATCTGCTATCTTCTCTGCTTGCTGGCTTTCTGAATAAAGTCACTTTCCTTGCATCAATTCCTGTAACTCATTGGCTGTCATGTAGCAACGCAGAACTAGTTTTCATTCAATTACAATAATACTTTGAGTTTTGTTTATTTCTAGATATAGCTGTTCCAATGCATTAAATTTAGTTCATTCTCAGAATTATTTCCTTCCATTTCAGGCCCTGTCTGCCATATACTGCCTATAGTAAGCTTTAGCTCGGTTTTATTCCAGAGAAATTGAGGTTCAGAAAGATGTAAATTATTATATATCAGGTTATATAACATTCAAGAAAATAATTATTTCAGACTCCTTTCATCATATACTTTTTTCTTTTAATAGAATAAGCACTTTTCCAATTATGTAGTCATGTATGTTATTTTTTTTAAAGTCAAATTTATTTCTTCCAGATCCCTCTTGCCTATTTCTCTGACCTGTGTTTGGTTCTCCACTTAACCTTTTGGATCACTGATTTTCAAATGATATGTTGCAAGAATCTTTAAAACATGCAATACATGCACTGGCTGCTTTTCCCTTATATTGTTAACTAAGAGAATGACAACAGCTAACACAACAATAGCCATCTGGTGTAAATGAATCAATTATACCTTTTTTGTTAGATCAGCCAAAAATATTTTTTTGGTGTGCTACAGTCAATAAAACAACAAATTAAATCTTTGTCCGTAGCATTTGCCAGTTTCTGTAGTGTTATCTCCCACCATGGCCAATTTCAAGCTACCAGTGTTACATCACTGATCATGAAATTGGAAAGATAGGAACACACAATTGCATAGTATACTCACCATGCAGGTAAAATAGGCAGGGACTTCTCGTTTCTAGTCTGACATGTTAAGAGCTTGGAAATCACAACCAAACAAAAAGGCTGAACTGCAAATCAATAAATCTTAAATGCATCAAAGAATTGAAGTAATAGGCAACCTCTACCACAAAAAGTGGAGACACAGGCAGAATCAGCAGGCAGAACAGAGAATCGTGGCTCACTAGGAGCAAAAAATACTTCTGGAACCAGCAACTGGTAGGAATACTTAAAGGGGAATTGACCAATTGCTGATAAATGAAATTGGACTATTGAAAGATTTTTAAAAATCTCCTGGGGCCCTGTGCATTTTTGTGCATTTTACCTCCAGGAGCCCCATATGTCTTACTATGCAGATTGGAAAAAGTTATCCTCATCCTTCTGGCAAGAAAAGGGAAAGTAACCATTCTGAAATACAGAGCATTCAGTTCTTTATTTATTTATTGAGTTTGGGAAGGGAGAGAGAAGAAGCATCAATCTGTTGTTCATTGGTTGATTCTTTTCTCCCCATAGGTTGATTCTTGTATGTGCCCTGATCAGAGATTGAACCCACAACCTTGGCATATTGGGATGACACTCTAACCCAGTGTTTTTCAACCTTTTTTGGGCAAAGGCACACTTGTTTCATGAAAAAAATCACGAGGCACACCACCATTAGAAAATGTTAAAAAAATTTAACTCTGTGCCTATATTGACTATATATAAAGTAATTCTCTTGAATAGGAATCAAATAAACACAAAGAACGTATTTTATAATTACTTTATTATGAAATATTAAGTAAACAAAATAGTGAAAAATTATAAAATTCTTGTCTTGTCTGCACCTCCGGCACACCAGGCAACATCTCGTGCGCGGAACAGCGGTTGAAAAACGCTGCTCTAACCAACTGAACTATCCGGCCAGGGCCAGAGCATTCATTTCTTGACAAAGATCAATCCTCAAGGAAAACTAAGAGCCTAATCAATGTGGGAGAAGGAAAACAACCAACTCCAGTCTCCTCTAGCTTGTTTCATCTAGGAAGAAAAAAAACAAGCATTTGTGAAGGTCAAAATCCAGGAATACAAGCTCATTGAAAAACTGAGTCCTAATAGAATTAGAGAATACTTCTCCCTTCTCACCCCATCATTTTACCAACACATCAGTAGGGATCCTCTGTAATAAAAGGGCATTACAACTTGGAAGAACTACAAGCTCAGATTATTTAAGGAGTCACTAGGGAAACCCAAAGACAAGGAAATTTATCCTCTGGCACCTATAGCTATAGCACATGGAAAACAACCTAATTCCCAGACAGATAAACATAAAATCTCAGTTTCTTTTACCCAGTATATTATACCTTTCTACAAAAAATTACAAGGCATGCTAAAAGACAGAAGAAGAAGAAGAAGGAAAAAAAAAACAGTCTAAAGAGGCAAGACAAGCATCAGAACCAAACTCACGGCAGAAATTTTGGAATTATCAAACCAGGAATTTAAAATAACCGGGATAGCCAGGGTTCCAGTGGCGCAATCGGTTAGCACGCGGTACTTATAAAATAACCAAGATTAATATGTTAAGGCCTCTAAAGGGAAAAGTTCACATGTACAAAATCAGATGAGTAATGTAGGCAAAAAGGTGAAAACTCTGTAAGAATCAAAAGCAAGTGCTAGAAATCAAAAGCACTAGCAGAAATGAAGAATGCCTTTGATGGACTTGGTAGATTGATCACAATCAAGGAAAGAATCAGTAAATTTGAAGATATGCTGATAGAAACTTTCCAAGCTGAAAAGAAAAACAGAAGAGAATATCCAGATAGAATAGTTGTAAATAACCTCAGGAACAAATGAAATAATAAAATGTAAGAGAAATGTTTTTTAGTATTTACTACTTTTACATTTTTAATGTAATTATTGTAATTTTTAGAATAATAGTTGTTTAAAAATCAGCTCAAAAAATTGCTTGGCTGGCCATTGTGGCTCAGTGCTTGAGCATCACAGTTTATAGAACCAAGAGGTCACAGTTTAATTCCTGTTCAGGGCACATATCTGCATTGTGGGTTACACCCCTAGTGGGGGATACGCAGGAGGCAGCTGATCAATGATTCCCTCTCATCCTTGATGTTTCTATGTCTCTCCCACTCCTGTCCTCTCTCTGAAATCAATAAAAACATATATATATTTTTAATTCCTGAAAGTTTAGCAAGTGGTTCTCAAAAGTAAATATGAACTGGCACAGCACTGCCTGAAATGAAGACTCATTGGATGTACCATCTTCAGATTTAAATACTGTTTGCTAAGGTTCCATTATATGCTGAACATCCTGCTAAGGAAATTTGCATACATTATTATCTCATTTAATTCTCATACCTCTCCATTTTTTTTAAGTTAAAAAACAAACAAACACAGAATTATTATATTCAAAGTCAGGTGCTTAGGATATAGTGAAACTAAGATTTGAGCCCAGGTCAGTGCTCTTTCTACCCATTGCCTTCTGAAGCTTACAGTATAATAAAACTAGGCGCAAATAAAAAGATAACTGCCACTTGATTACTCCATTTTCCTGAAGTTCTGTAGCCAAATCCAGTTCCACTATGAACCCATAAACCATATGCCTCTTTAGACAAAAGGAATGTCAGTCATCATAATTCTTCAGAACATTGCCATGATTACCAAACAGTTTGGTGCTCCAGCCTGGACATTCCAGAAGAGAACAGGGAAGAGCTAAGATGGCCTTCTTCAACTTGTATCTACTTGGATATCAAAATTCCTTTCAGCACAAGAAAAGGGACACAACTGAAGAAACAGGTAAGGGGAATATACAGTAAAGGATTAGAAGGTCCACTTGTTAGCCATTTACTTTTCCTACCTTGGGTTAGAGATTTATCCCCCAACATTAACAATTACACTAGTAAAAAGTAATGGAGTAGGCAGGGTATCCATTCATGTCCCACTTCTGTCATTTAATAGCCTTTTTTTAAGATACCAAATTTGTTCAAATAAATGTATTCATTTGCTCATTTAGCCAACATTTAAGCACCAACTTTATGCCAGGCTTTATCTTGGTGACTGGGGTTACAAAGATAGATAGAATAAGGTCTCTGCCATAAAGTGGTTGACTAGCAAATGAAAATAGGTATGCAAACAAATAATGTGCAATATTGTATGAGATTAAATTAAATATGGAATGCTATGTAGACACAAAAGAGGTAGTATCTGATACAGTTGGAATAGGGGGATACTTTAGAGCAGCGTTTTTCAACCGCTGTTCCACGGCACACTAGCGTGCCGCGAGATGTTGCCTGGTGTGCCGTAGGTGCAGACAAGACAAGAATTTTATAATTTTTCACTATTTTGTTTACTTAATATTTCATAATAAAGTAATTATAAAATACTTTCTTTGTGTTTATTTGATTCCTATTCAAGAGAATTACTTTATATATAGTCAATATAGGCACAGAGTTAAATTTTTTAACATTTTCTAATGGTGGTGTGCCTCGTGATTTTTTTCATGAAACAAGTGTGCCTTTGCCCAAAAAAGGTTGAAAAACACTGCTTTAGAGAAGACCTCATACACAAAATGCTTCCAGAAATGAGTGTTAAAGGATGGTTGAAGTTAAGTAGACAAGAAGGGAATATAGCACAGACAAAGGAACAAACTTGAGAGAGAGAGAGCCAAATTAAGTGAGCACTCAAGTCCTTGGGTACAGATAGGTGGTAAAATAAACAAATGCTGGGGAGCAGGCCTGAAAACTAGGCAGGGGCCAGATAATTAAAGATTATGTTAGTCGTGCTAAGCATTTTTCCCCTTTAAATATACATACATATACAGATATATGTATGTGTGTGTATATATACACTGAGTGGCCAGATTATTATCTCTGAACACATAATAATCTGGCCACTCAATGTATATCCTATATAATAAAAGGCTAATATGCAAATTGTCCCTTCAACCAGGAGTTTGACCAGCAGGCAGACGGGCCAACTCTCCCATGTCCTCTCTCCCTGGCCAGACCCCACCCATGCACGAATTCATGCACCAGGCCTCTGTGTGTGTGTGTGTGTGTGTGTGTGTGTGTGTGTGTGTGTGTATATATGTATATTTATATATATTTATACTGAGTGGCCATGTGTTCAAAGATCATAATAACCTGGCCACTCAGTGTCTATATCAGCATATATATATATATATATATATTATATATACACATACACACACACACACACACACTAGAGGCCTGATGCATGAAGATTCATGCAAGAACGGGCCTTCCTTCCCCTGGCTGCTGGCACCACCTTCACTCTGGCTGGAACTGCCTTTCCACTCTGGCCCAGAGCCACCTTTCTGCCTTCCCATGCTGCCCAGAGGCCCAGAGTGGCTGGGGGCAGTGCCGAATGCCTGGATTGTTGCCATGGTTAATTTGCATACTTGCTCCTGATTGGCTGGTGGGCATCTCAAAGGTACAGTCAATTAACATGTTACTCTTTTATTAAGTAGATATAAAATTATTTTTTTATTTTTTTAAAATATTTTTTATTGATTTTTTACAAAGAGGAAGAGAGAAGGATAGAGAGTTAGAAATATCAATGAAATAGAATCATCGATCAGCTGCCTCTTGCACACCCCCCACTGGGGATGTGCCCACAACCAAGGTACATGCCCTTGACCAGAATTGAAACTGGGACCTTTCAGTCCACAGGCTGACGCTCTATCCACTGAGCCAAACCGGTTTCAGCCGTAGATATAAAATTATTGATAGTATTGCAGATGTCTCCCATTTATCCCCCTCCTCCCAGTCTCTACCCACCCACCCCCAAGTCTTCACCACCCTATTGCCCACAGCTATGCATATAAGCATGCTAAGCATTTTATTATAGAGGGAGACATGGAAGGATTTTTAGTTGGCAGTGAGTACTTATCAGATTTGTACTATATTCACAATGCCTAGCAGTGCCTTATACATAATAGAGGTTTAATAAATACATATTTGTAGGGTAAACGAATGAATAAATAATATAGAATAACTAACCAAAACAAGTTAGGGGAGGCTTTAAAGGAGATGTGACAATTAAGATCTTAAAAGGTGACTTGTTTGAAAGCACAGAAGTGGAGAAGGCTTTTCTGGGCCAAATAGCACATGAAGGAAATTAAATATAGGCAAGTACTAAAGCAAAAGTAATGTTGAGGTAAGTGATGGGGATTACCGGAAAAGTATAAAGCACAAGTTAAGACTGTGAAGGATTGATCTTCATTGGACACTCAGTCCTCTTTCTAATTCCATCATTGAAACTGTTTTACATATCCAGCTTTCAGGTAAGACTTCTACAAAGGATCCCACTGATGGGCTCTAGGAATCCCTTAATAGCGCTACACCAGCCCTCCTCACTTGCCCCCAACCATTTGAGTCCCAACATTATCCCATGGGGCTATTATTGTCTCGAAATAACTTTTTCATCCTCTCTCAGAGAAACAAATTTCCCTTGTTCCAGGCCAAGAGCAGGCCTTTCCTGCCTGCCCCTACTAGAAGGACTTCTCACCATGAGATAATTAAGCTTCAAGCCTGGGATTTTCCTACCCAAATAGCCACTTAAACACTGGTGGACAAGACTCAGTTCCAAAAAGGCCTGGGTCTCACTACTGATGAATTACTTTGTAGGCTAGCCGGCAAGATTTCACTTTATAAAAACTGAAGTCCCCTGTGGGATGATAGGGAAGCATCCTGATATCATCTGCTTACCCAAATTTTTCATTCCAATGGCAGGAGGCTTGACTAGCCTGTTGGCCTAAAATGTAGAGGGAAGACTGGACATCAAATTTGCCTCCCCTTAGCCTCCACTTGGTTCCCTCACCCCATTCAATTTTATACCCTCTGGTTATCTCTCAAGATTTGGATAGAGGAGGTCTACTTGCTAAATTAAAATTCCTAATTATGTTGATTCAGGCATTTAAAAATAACTTTAGCATGTACTGTGTTCCAGGCATTGTACTGAGAACTCTATGTGCATAATTTCATTTAATACTGTCAACATTCCTGTGAAGTAGAAGTTACTATTCTTTTATCAATAAGGAAACAGACTCAAAGAGGTCAACTTACTTAACCAAGGTCACAGTGATAGAAGTTAACTTACCCAAGGTCACAGTGATAGAGCCAGAGTTTGATTCCAAATTGTCAAACACCTATGCCTGTGCTCATTTTTTAAATATTTCTATTAATTTCAGAGAGAAAGGAGAAGGGATAGATAGAAACATCAATGATGAGAGAATCATTGGTTGACTGCCTCCTGAAGATTCCCCCACTGGGAATTGATCCCACAACCCAGGCATGTGCTCTGACCAGGAATCGAACTGTGACCTCCTGATTCACAGATTAACACTCAACCACTCAACCACACCAGCCGGGCCCTGTGCTCATTTTTAGACAGTTATATGGGCAGACCACTGTACAAATGATTGATAGTCAGCCTTTTGCTGTGGGCAGACCACTGTACAAATGATTGATAGTCAGCCTTTCTATGAAAATCTATTAATCTCTAAGCCCTGAAGTTCAAATATCAGGTTGGCTTTACCTATAGTTACTTATTCTCTGTTCCACAACAGGTGGTTCCCACGAGTGTCAGGAGCCACCATTCACTGGAGCTGAGTGGTAACTTTCAGCCAGAATTGCTGCCTTGAGGACTTCTTTATGGAGTCAACACCTATAACCTTCTCCTAGAGCCCTTGGACAACTTCCCAAGAGAGTTACAACATTCTACAACTTCACAGTAGTGTTCTGCAAGCCCAGAAAAAAAGTAACTGGGTTAGTTCCTTCTGACATTTTTTAAAAAAACACACACATATGCATATTCACTACCGAATCATTATTACTATGTGATCTATCTATTTCATGCAGGTACCAAAACAATAATTTGATTTTGTTTTCTGTACTTAAAACTCAAACTTTGCTTGAATTATTGGTGGAAATGCAATGCTAACAGGTCAATTATATTTTATTTCTTCAAATAAAACTAGGCAGTTTCATTTCCAGGACAAGAATTTAGTGAAATCACTATTTGACAAGGCAACCGGTTACCATGGATCCCATTTTTCTAGGAGGAATCTTGAAGTTAATGTGTCCCATCGGACCCTGGAGTGTGGCTAACCTAATACCACAAACTCCTAACCACCAAGTAGGAATCCCTGGTATAAACCAGCCACTAGACATCAAGCTAGCATGCTTGGATCAATTAATAAGTCCTATATAATGAAAGTTGAATGTAATTACAGTAGAATCTTATCAGACAAATAGTTGGTTAGTTAATTTAAAGGAAGAGTACATTGGAAAATTGAATGTAATTACAGTAGAATCTTAGACAAATAGTTAATTTAAAGGAAGATTACATTGTAAATTAGGGATTCAAGAAAAGGTACATTCCTTATATTTTTTAGTTTTACTTAATACTCACCAATTTTTTATACAGTGCCAATTCCTTTTCCTTGAAAATGTGTTCAGAGAAACATCGGACAGTCAAACCTCATAGGGAAGGCAGGGGAGGGGAAGAGGAGGTAGAGATCAACCAAAAGGCTTGTATGCATCCATATAAGCATAACCAATGGACACAGACACAAGAGGAGTGAGGGCATGTGTGTGTGGGGGGGGGAAGGAAGGGAGGGAAGGGCAATGGAGGGAAAGGAGACATATGTAATACCTTAAAGAATTGGAAAACATATTAAAAATGGAGAGAAAAATCAATTTTAATATGCAGAAGGAACCTATATTTGCCATTATAATTAATGAAAAACACAAGAATCATGATTTTTTTTTCTC